CTTTCTGGGTTACGCTAGAGATAATTTCACATCAAATGCTGCCATTTTTGTATGATGAATGGGCGAGACTGGTGTTTTGAGTCAAATGTGACCAAAGTGTTCCTGAAAAATGAAACCTCAGAAATACGAGTCTGTATTCAGAATGAGGGAAGAGGAGGGTGTGGTTGCTGCAGAAATCATCTAAAAGTGTAGTTTCGGTTGACTATTGAGTCATCAGAGACAGAAAGCTATTTTTTATTTATGGTAATGCACAGTCTAAACCCTTATTAGGACGGAAGTTTAAGGAGTTTCAGGGCATTTGCATCAAAGACATAGTCCCAGTTTTGAGTAAGGTTTATGTGTGTGGAGAAAACCATGAATGAGTTATGTTGCTACACATTGTTTCCAGACCAAATGGTAGAAGTTAAAAGTTGTTAGATTAATAAGATCTTCAGCTGCTCAGCTAAGTAATATCTGATGTTGGTGAAAGCTGACTGATGTTGTATGAGGGGCTGAGCATAGAAAGGGGAAGTCAAGGTATTGAATCATTTCTCTACCATCCTCAGGACTTCTTGAAAATAAAAAAAGAAAGAGTGAATCTTCTGGAACATTTAACATCTATGGTAGATAAGGTCATTTGCATTGTAAAGAAAAAGCGCAACAAGTAAAGAATACAAAAAAAATCCACTACATGAAGTCTGTGTAAAAGGTTTCCTTATTGACAATAAGGTGTAGGCTTATTGCCTGTAAGTTTGGGGGGTGGGGGGGGTTCACCACCGGATGTAAGCCCCTGTATACCTCACAGACTGAAAGTCAGGGGTGAAGTTCCCGTAAACAGAACCAGTTTCTCCAAAATGATGCGAAGAGAAGTCAGTAAACACCCATTAATCTGATTCTGTCTCAGTAAAAAGTTGCAGAAAAATCCAGAAACAATTTGGTGTCTTTTAATATCTTTCTCTGCTTAGTTTTGAGTTAAAACGATATCAACGTTCTGTGCAGAAGTCCCTTTGTTAATACTGTGAGGGCTTGATGAGTGGTGACTTGATATTTTTAACACAGTGCATTGTTTGGATAAAGAGAGTTAGTTTGCTATGGAAGTTAAAATCACTTTCAAAGGAAAGTCAGAACTGTTGCCAATCTGACAACCTGAACACTTTCACTTTTTTGTCTGAACAAATGTGTAAACTGAGCTGCTACTATTCAGGTTTAGTGTGGAGCTAAGTGACTAATGGTGCTGCAGAGTTCATCACTGCGTTTATATTGCCTCCTAGAGTCTGCTTGTGGCAGTTAAAAGTATCTGATCTGTTTTTGTTTTTTTTATATAGAAATGTCTGAGGCTAACTTGTCTATGTTTTTTAATTTTTTGTTACAGGCAATGTTAAAATGGAGGAGATTTTTTCTAAACAGCCCGCTCCACCAGAGCTTCTGTCTCACTGCCAAGACAGCTGCGGCGTCTGCATATCACCCCAGCCTGATTTAGGTAAAACAAAAAAACAAAAGGGGGGCATATACGTGTATACACTCAAAGAAATAATTTTATTTCTGTAACACATTTCACTGAGTAAGACATTTTATACTGTAGGTAAAAATAATGTTTTTCATGCCTTTATTTTTGACTATTAGTATTATTTTCTAATTACAGCAAAATGAAAACATGTCATTTAAGTATGATGATTAGCAACATATTTGTCTTCTATACATCCATACAATTTATAACACTTGCTAAGTCTTATATTCCTGCAGTTTATTGTTTTAGCTCTGTAATCTGAGACTCTGAGTCAAACCCTTGTCCTTTGTTTGATCACAAACTACACTAACAATGTACTGCAGGGTGGAGCATTATCTATCAATGAGATAAACATTTAAGACCAAGATTTATTGACAAATTATCATACGTCTCAAATAATCAAATTTCTCTCTTTAAGTTAATTCTGAACATAACTTTGATTTTTCCAGTTTCTCTTCACCTAAAAAAAAAAGTCAGATTTGCTATTTATTGGCCAAATTACTTTCCAAATTACTTAAAAATGTATTTATTTATTTTTTTTATATAACTGAGTGTTAATAGTAGTTATATCCAATTTAGAATGAGGAACATTTACAATTTTACCGACTATTATTTAATCAGTTTTTTTCTTTTACATTTTAGCTTTATAAGCAGTAAACTACTAAAAGCCAACTTAATGATAAATGTAGCACATCCTAATGTTTCTATATAAAGCATGTAAATAGAATTTAAAATGTGAACATTATTTCTATGATTATAGAAATAATTTAGCTATTAATTTAGAACACTGAGTTTATATCTCGTTACCAAAATTTTTTTTTTTTTTGTCTTGTTATATTCTCATCGTAAATGTTAATGTAAATAAGCAGAAAATCCTCCTTTTCATCAGAAATCAAGTCTAACACATATGAGTCTGTATTTAAATAATCTGCACCATGTGTTTCATGTACTGAATTCAGTTACTGAAATAAATCAACAGCTTAATAATGTATTAGTTAATTAATTATAAATTAATGTTTTGTTGTTTTTGTACTGTTACTTCCTCCTGGCTTAGTTTAAATTAACCCTGTCCAGATGTTCCCCCTTTGTCATATTAAGTGTGCCAAAAAATCCTGGTTCATGGTATTCAGCGGGCTGTTTTCTTCTATACCAGATGTATTTTCTTATTCTATCAATCTGTTTTCCTCCTCAGATAATCCTGGAATCATCAACGTAGATGAAAGCTTGGTCAGCAGCTGTACCATATGCCCGCTGCAATCAGATTGCAACACATCCACCACACAATACTACACCAAAAACTTCCTCAGTTTTCCCTCTGAGCCCCAGGAGGATGAATGGTGGGGTTTTAAAAGCAGCCAGAAAAAGGACACCGACTGATGGAGCCATTTCTGGCTAAAAAATATCGCAGTGACTGTTTATAAACATGGAGCATATTTTACTTTCAGTTTAGGTTGGCATTACTTATAGTTTTCTGCCACCTGCAGGACTTGGGTGAAAACTTCAGATCATGTAATGAAGTATTTCTCAAAACAGCTGATTGTGAGTAAAAAAAAGCAGAAATTTAGGATAGATTAAGCTCTACAGAACAGGGATAAACAGATTATTTTAGCTAAAAAAAAAACACTGCCTTGTATAGATTGTATATGTCTTTGTCTTTAACTTTCCCTGTTCGCTGCTGATTCAGATGATGAACTGCAGTGCAAACACACAATAGCACTCTGAGAAATGAGAAACAGCTGTGTGGACATGGGCGAAGCTCTGAATGATATTCGTTTTATTTTTTTTCCTACAGTTTACTGTAATAATATCACTTACAAGATGTTTTCAAAGATGCAGGGAAACTGTAAAAATGGCTACATGTCAAACTCTTAAACCTGATGGTGTTTTTTAGATTTAGAGAAACAAACCAATCAGTAAATCTGAGTAAGTTTGTTCCCTGCAGTTTCTGACAAACCTGAACTCAATGACAGATTTTCAGCAATTGTTCTGAGTCCATTCATTGATCCCCACCTTACTTCACGTGTCAATAAAATTGTTCTGCTAAATAGGTAAACAGGCAATATCTTACCTTGGGCAGAGAAGTCATGGCTTTTTCATTGCATCTAAATACTGATTAGCTTTTTTTCTGAAAGATGTATTCAATAGGTTGTCAATAAAAACGGAAAAGCAGACTTTTGCTTAGTTGTCTTTTTTGTCGGGAGGTAATATATCAGCTATTTAAAGTAGCAAATGTATCCTTGCAAAAACTTGTACACAGCCACTAGAGTGGATCCTCTAAACAACCATTTTTCCTTTTGGGTAACAAAAAAATCTCATCTGCCCTTAATCATCATGTTGGCAAATCATTTTAACTAAAAAAAGCCACTTAACTGAATTTTAAACAGTATTTCTATTCAGACTGGAAAGCCTTAACTTGTTCTATTGTCTGTAAGCATTTTATACAGAAGGATTACAAGAGGATTTTTTTTAAAACTACAATTATTTGTGTTTATGGTCAC